GGTAGAGAGACACAGGCAGAGGGAGAAGCAGGCTCCATGCACCGGGAGCCCGACGTGGGATTCGATCCCGGGTCTCCAGGATCGCGTCCTGGGCCAAAGGCAGGCGCTAAACCGCTGCGCCACCCAGGGATCCCAATGTAGTCTATTATATGATGTTTATATACCTCATGAAGCTGTTAAAAAGAAACAAAACATCCAAGCAAGTTAAAGACATCTTTCTTCCCATATTTGTTTATGTAATTTATTTGCTTGAAGGAATTTGGTGGTCTGCCGTGTAGAGTTTACCACATTGTGGAATTTATTGATTCCAAAAAAAAAAAAAAAGATTCCTATCTTTTAGAATTGTGTAATGAAGTATTTATGGGTGAAATCTACATTGGTGAAATCAAGCTGAGTGATTGGCATCTGAAGACTCATGCCATTCTCTCTAGTTTTATATGCTTTAACATTTTTGTAATAAAAAGTTAAAAGAAGTCCTGGGTCCCCTGAATCTCTTAGGGTTTGAACATAGAAGTCAGAATTTTTAAATAAAGTCTTAGGGTAATTTTGTTATATATTAAAGAGAATCACTGCCCTAGACCAAAGAAAAAGGTTCTGATGGTGAGATGGGTGTTGGATACTTGTTACAAGGTATGGGAAAAACAGTTTTTTGGCATATGTCCTTTGTATTTCTTACCAAATTACAAAAGCTGTATGTTAGCTATCCTTTTTCAGAGAGCCAGTTATGGCTTTGCCTACCTCTTCCACTGCTGAGGAGATTTTCTGATCCCTATATATATACACTGATTTTGTTCTTATTCAATCTTAAAAGTGTGATTTTAATATAGGTTTGCTTTATCATATAGGCTTAGTATGATTTGCATGAATTACTCTGAATTTCAGCCCTACATAAAAGTGAAATATAAAAGTTTGTCTTCTGTATATCTAATCTCCTCTATGACACCTTTGCTCTCTCAGGCTCCTGGTGTCTTTCCCACTAGTAGAAAATCACTAAAAAACTATATATGATAAATTCATTTATATAGGATTGCTGGTTAGAGTCATGGAGTCCTCTTCTCAGGTAAAGTAGATTTAATGAGGGCACAGGATTTAAGTTAGAGTTGAAAAAAAGAAAGTGTAAGGGCACCTGGCTCAGGTGGTCTCATGTCTGCCTTTGGCTTAGGTCATGATCCCAGGGTCCTGGGATCAAGCCCCACATCGGGCTCCTTCATCATTCAGCTGGGAGCCTGCCTCTCTCTTTCCCTTTGTCTGTTGTGTGCTCTCTCTCTCTCTTTCTTTGTAAAATAAATAAATAAAATCTTTAAAAAAAAAGTGTAGTGATGGATTCTCAGGCATCAAGTAACCTAGTGAGGGATAGAATTTTGGGAGATGGTTCCTTTCAAGACCCTTTACAAACTGACCAAGTAGATTGTTACCTATTTATCTCATTGAGAATATTATCCTTAGAAGAATCAGATAATGTCTTTTCTTTTGTAATGTGCATGGAAAACTTAATTTTGGCTGCAAGCAATAAAAAGCCAAATTTGAACATTTTTATTTATTTTTTAAAGATTTTATTTATTTATTCATGAGAGACACAGAGAGAGAGACAGAGAGAGAGAGAGAGAGAGACGCAGAGACACAGGCAGAGGGAGAAGCAGGGTCCATGCAGGGAGCCAGATGTGGGACTTGATCCCAGGACTCCAGGATCACGCCCTGGGCTGAAGGCAGGCGCTAAACCGCTGAGCCACCCAGGGATCCCAAATCTGAACGTTTTTATTTTTTATTTTTTGAACATTTTTTAAAATAGTCAATAAAATTTATTAGCTCAGGGAACTTACTAAATCTCGAGGAAGGGGTAGGCTTCAACCTGAGTTTGAGCATTTCAATTATGCGTCAGCTTTATCCTCAGGCTGGCTTCCCTCAACTGTAGCAAAGTGGCCATAGTAACTGTGGGACTTATGTCCAATCATCATACCAGCCAGAGTAAGAGACAGAGTACTTTCCTTCTGCTAATAAATATGAGATCTGGCCTCCCTTATGATTGAACCAATTTAGATCTGTCCTTGAACACTGACAGAGTTAGGTAGAGACCAGATTAGGCTGGTTATGGACATCAGTTAGGGCCTAGACCTGGGATTGGAACTGGGCCTTTTGCCATTCAAATCATTAGCTGCCTCACAATTGCAGAGGGGTAAAAATGCATGCTGGGCGGGGGGGTCAACCAATAATGCCCATTAGAAAAGAAATATGTTTCACCCCCATTAAATATTGTGATTTAAACTCTTCCATTTTGTTCAGTGTGTAATTTGTTTCCTATTTTTGATATTATGAAATTTTAAATTGGGAGTTGCAGACTCACGTGAAGGAAACAGGGTAAGGTAAAACAGGGAATACAGAAACTTTGAGAAAGAAAAGAATTCATGTCCTGTAGCCAGCCGATAGACACCATATGAAAATGGAGGTCCACTGTTAAGAAATCTTTCACTTGGGATCCCTGGGTGGCGCAGCGGTTTGGCGCCTGCCTTTGGCCCAGGGCGCGATCCTGGAGACCCGGAATCGAATCCCACGTCGGGCTCCCGGTGCATGGAGCCTGCTTCTCTCTCTGCCTGTGTCTCTGCCTCTCTCTCTCTGTGTGACTATCATAAATAAATAAAAATTAAAAAAAAAATCTTTCACTTAAAAAAAACTTTCACTTTTTAAACTTTTAAAAAATTTGTTCTTTTGAGAGAGAGCACATGCAAGCTAGAGCAGGAGACAGGGTCAGAGGGGAGGGAGAAGCAGACTCTGCTGGGCAAAGAGCCTGACATCTGGGGGCTTGATCTCAGGACACTGGGATTGACCTGAGTTGAAGGCAGACACTCAATTGATTGAGCCACCCAAGCACCCCCTTTCACTTTTTAGAGAAGCTGGAATGCATGTGAAATCTTCTGGCTTTTAATTTTTAACTTTGGCTAATTTGTTTAAGCACCATGCAGGCCAAACAAAACATGTTTGTGGGTCAGATCTGGACCTAGGTCATCAGTTTTCTGTCGCATTATGAGCCATGCTAGCAGAGTTTATACTCTTCTCCAAAGTGAGAGCTTTTAGTCTTTTCAAGGATTAGGGCTGCTAGCATATGCTTATTGCAAGGGGAGTCATTGTGGGTAGAGAATTGAGCAGCACACATTATGGGGACAATGTTTTGTTATTAACTCTTTGGCATGTATTTAGAATTGTTTTCCTAGGGATAAGGATAAGTTTGTACAGAATCACCTTTACTGTCTCTATCTAGGTTCTCTTGTGACTCATCTCTTATCTAGGTTCTCTTGTGACATCTCTTATCTAAGTTCTATTGTGAGGAACAGTTCAGTTTTACACAATGACCCCTGGTGATTAGAGGTGTAACATGGCCATGAGACGACGGGGTTTGCTTTTTTTGTCAAAAAAGCTTCTCTCCAGTTAGAAGACATCAGAAGATAGAAACTGAACGTCTTTTTCATCTGTTGATTTCCTCATGGTTCCCAGTGTAACTTTACTCGCACTGCAGTAGAGGCTCAGTACTTACTTGTCAACTTATTTATTATTAGGCACTTGTTGGCATATTTTTTTAATAGATACAGATGACTTGAGTTATTCCAACCCTAATTTTATTAAATATCAAAATTCAGGCCCAGAACTAGGCCGACTCTTGGAATACAAAGGTTAGAGGACCTTCTGGGAAGCAGCCCAGAAGATAAGGGAAACAACAAATAGTTGCAACACTCTTGGTATGTCCCAGCATCTCTAGACATTTAAATCAGGAAAAAGAGAGAGAGGGGGGAGCCCATTGGACACATTTTGTATTTTTCAGGGTAGTTTTTGGATCTAGTTGGGGAAATCAGTGCTGAGGAATTGAAGTGGGGTAGAAGGGAGAATTTTAAACTAAAGAATTCATCCTAGAGCTTAAATCTTTGGCCATACACAACTCTTGCTGCACTATATTCACTTATTCCTACAATTACATTTTCGGAGTACTTGGGATGAGTCAGGCATTGTGGAAGACATAAAAAATGAATGAACCGGGTTCTCGAGTATTCCCCAGAGGAATAAAATATTGCACAGATTTATTTACCTAGATAAGGTTGAATATATTCGGTGCCACAAACCAACAGAAACAGAATGCTATGGAAATTAGGACAGTTGACAGTTCATTTCTGGCTGCAGGATCTACAAAGGAGGATACCGACAGTTCAAGGATCAGTGTACAGTATTTGTAAGGAGAAAGAGTTGGTTTGTCTTATCTCCACTAGTGTGTACACCCAAATTTATTGCCCCGAAGGGCAGAATGAGGACACGTTTTCCTCATACAAACACACAGCAGGTGTCTTCCCTCTTCAATCTCCCGAGTCCCACAGAACCAACTAGCAAGGGAGCGACGGACACGCAGACACCTTGGAAGAGGCAGAGAGGAGAGTAACTGGCGAGACAAGTTAGTATTCTTGAAGGTGACTTCCTTGAGGATTACCGGGCGTGAACAGTGAAGAGATGTAAACCAAGCTTACGAGCAGAAACACAATCGCCCCAAATTTAGGATTATCTAAGAACTCGCCGACCCCGCTGGGCGGGCCGCCGGCTCCCCCGCAAGCGAGCCCGAACCCGCTGGCTCCGCCGGCGCAGGTCCCCCTCAGGAAGGTTCTGAGGGACCGCGACCGCCTCCCGCCCTTTCCCGGGTCCCGACTCTGAGAACCCGGCCCCCTCCCCCAGCGCCCCTCCCCTCCCCTCCCCTCCCCCGGCCCCCTCCCCTCCCCTCCCCCGGCCCCCTCCCCTCCCCTCCCCCGGCCCCCTCCCCCAGCTCCCAGCCCCCAGCCCGGCCGCGGCCAGGCAGGGACGCGTACGCGCGTGCGCGCCGCCCCGGGGGCAGAGAAGGCGCCTCCGCCCTCAGGAGCGCGCACGCCGCGCCGAGGGGCCCGGACGCGCGCGCTCCCGGCCCGCCTCCCCCTCGGCCCGCCCCCTCCCTCGCCTCTTCCTGCCGGGCGGGCCTCCCCTCCTCCCCTCCTCCCCCTTCTCCACTCCCTCCGCCTTGCTCCCTCCGCCCTCCTAGGGCTCTGGCGGCCGCGGAGTGAACGGGACGGGCCCGGCCGCAGAGCGCGGGGCGGCGGCTGGGACGCGGGCGCCCGGCGGAGTTGTTCCGGCCCTGACGGCGGAGACGTGAGGAGGTGAGGCGAGGGCGGCCTCCGAGGGGCCGGCGGGCGGCCGGGCGGCGGGGCGCCGCGGGCCGGGCCGGGGGTGTTGGCGTCGGAGCTGAGCCGGGGGAGGGTCGCGTGGGGGCCGGGCCGAGGACGCGCTGCGAGAGGACCACGGGGAGGAGGGCACGGGGCTTCCGTGACCGTCGGTCGCTTCCTGGCCCCCACGGCTCTGCCTGCCGGTCGCTCTTCCTGGCCCGGGCGGGCGGGCGGAGTCGGGACGCCCCTCACCTGGGGGCGGGGCGGGGACTTGGGCGCTCGCCCCCCGCCGAGCCCCCCTGACGTGCCGCCGCCTCCGCCGCCCCGCCTCGCCTGCCGCCCGGCTCGCGGGCTCCGCAAGCCGCCCTGTGTCCGGGGGGGCGTGTGGTTAGGGTGGTGGTGTTTTTTTTTTTTTAAATCCACACTCAGGCTTCTGTTCGTGACCGCGTCTCGCCCTCGCGCTCCCCCTGCCTCCGCCCGGCACTTTGCTCCGCTCCTGCTGTGGGTGCTTGTGGTTTTTGCAGTTTGGGATGGGCTGCGTCCTGGGCGGATCTCTACCTGCAAGGAACGCCCCGCTTCGGAGTTGACCGCCTGGCCCCGAGAACCCTCTGTCCAGGTGTGGGTGCTCGGTGTCCTCATAACTGAGTCAAAGTTTCTGAGACTGGACTAGTACTTTGCACCGGTCGGCAGCGGTGCAGGGCTGGGCAGTGCGTCAGCGTGTGGAAAGGGGCCCCTGGCCCGCAGAAGGTGGCTGGATGCTAGGGCACTGGACTGACGGGGCTTGTTTCGGATCCCGGGGCGATGTGTCCACGTACTTGTGAATTCCCCTTGTACCTCTCAAGATTATCTTAGAAAACTTGCCAAATGCAGGGGGTCACTTGCAGAGTTGAAGGTTTCCTACGAGTGAGGAGAAACCCCAACCTCGTTACACTAATTAATGGTAAGGAGAACTTTGGCATGCTTGAGAGATTTCGGCGCTGACTGGAAAATGGATTTCAAGGCCTGCATCTTTGGTCCTGGAAGGTTTAGGGATTTTTTTTTTCAATATTTTCTTGTTCTTTTTTTTTTTTTTAAGATTTTATTTATTTATTCACAAGAGACACACACAGAGAGAGAGAGAGAGAGAGGCAGAGACACAACACAGGCAGAGGGAGAAGCAGGCTCCATGCAGGGAGCCTGACGTGGGATTCGATCTCCAGGCTCCAGGATCACGCCCTGAGCTGAAAGCAGCGCCAAACCACTGAGCCACTTGGGCTGCCCCAAATTTTCTTGTTCTTGATGTGGGGTAGGTAGTTGGGAGTTTTAAAAACACAATTTCATGAAAACGCTCTGACTTTTCTTACAGTAGTGTTTATATTTAGCTTCTGTACTTTTGTAGAATATCCGATACTGTGATGTCAGAAAGTACAAAGATGAAGTTTGCTTGTGGTCAAATTGGAAGTGGATTTTTTTGTCCATGGAAAATATTGGTCCACAAGCTGCTAGAGCTGGAGAACTGGCCTATGATTCATTATCTTCATTAAAAAAAAAAAAAAAAGTCCCATAGGAAACTGACAGTGAACTTGCAAAGGAGAAAGACCAGATGGATTTCATCTATTTGTGTTTAAATGCTCACCTGGTAGATGAGTTAGTTGAGGCTATTGAGTTAGACTGTTGTCTATATTAAATCAGTTCAAAATGTGCTTTGATATTATGTATTAGTGAGTGGCCTGGGGAGAAGTGGATGTAGTTGGGCAGTGCTCATATGTGAACACATTGTATAGCCTACATTGTATACTAGAAAGCTGGAAACAAAGTAGTAGATCCAGGTACTATTGGGACATGTGGTGAACACATCACCCAGCATGAAAAGGTGTGACAATACATGTATGAAGTTTTGTTTTTAGTTTTTGTTCTGTTTTGGCCTGAGTTTTCTTGATAGGAACTTTTATACATTACAGTTTTGATATCCTGAGAATTTTTGTTCCTTTGCTAATGTTTCATGATTCAGATGATTTTCTTTTCATTCTAGTAGTTATGCTGTTTTTCTTTGAATGACAGAATTTTATAAGACATATGAAACAAAAGTTTTCATGTTTACTCACCAATGTAAAATTTGTGACTTCTAAAAAGTTGTAATTAAAATTTTTCTTTGCTTTAACCCAGATTTCAGCTTGTTCAATTACTGTATATTTACTTGAACTCAGATGATACAGCATTAAAGCTGAAAGTCGTTTTATCCATTCTTAATGGAGTAGTTAAAAGAAGGAATTTTGTTGTGCTAAGAAAAAATATTATGAGTGGGAGATAGCCAAGCTTCAAGAGATGAACTTTGAAGAGAGTAGTAGCTAAGTAGCAAAAATTTCTTGCTTTGAAGGTGTAGAACTGGGTCTGCATTCCATCCTACCATTGTCTTGAAGAGGGATGTAGGGATGATTATGGTGGAAAGAGAATATTTAGAGAATAAAGTAGATACTGTAGTCTATAGGTATTTGTCTCAAGTTTTAATGAGTTGGTGCGTGTATGTAGCTCTTGCCTTGTATAAATGGCTCAGCCACTGGGTCTCAGGATGACCAGGAGCACAAGGCTATTCTAGCCTCCAGTACTGCAAAGATAGCTCAGGAGATAGACTTACAGTGCGTTTGCCACCACTAACAGTAGAAGCAGAAAAAGTACAGACTTGAGCCTGAGTTATGGTATAAAACCTACTCCCATTTTAGAGGAGAGGTTTAATATTGTAAATATAGAATAAGGCATTGCTTGACTTGACTCGTGTCTTTTCAGAGTGGTAAATAATTTTCACTTTATGGTTAGTATTTGAAATTGGGTATAAGTACGTGAACCTCAGTGGACCCCTAATAAGGAAGAGTTAATGGAATTTAGTAGAACTTGTATGTATCTTTACATTTATCTTTTCATATTTCATTTATTTTCCGTATTGCACTCATTCAACAGGTAGGATGCCAAAATTGACTATAGTAAGTTTGTGCTCATGCTGACTCCTTTTTGTCTTTTTTTTTTTTTTTTTTTTTTGGTACTTTTGGGTGTAATTTTGGGGGATTTTCCTTGGAAACTTATAGGCATATACTTAGTTGATTTGGAGTTAGACTTGGGCTTCGATTATTAGTGTACTTGAAATTCTGAGCCTTCTTGTTTCCTTTTTTTTTATTTTTTATTTTTATTTTTTTTCTTGATTTTTATTATTTATTTATGATAGTCACACAGAATGAGAGAGAGAGAGGCAGAGACACAGGCAGAGGGAGAAGGAGGCTCCATGCACCGGGAGCCCAATGTGGGATTCGATCCCGGGTCTCCAGGATCGCGCCCTGGGCCAAAGGCAGGCGCTAAACTGCTGCGCCACCCAGGGATCCCCGCCTTCTTGTTTTCTAAATAGCTTTAAAAATAGAAAACATAAGTCTTTATAAACACTCAAGAAAAATCTGGTTACAGACTGTGTTGTTGTGATAGACATAGAGCAGCCAAAAATATATTTAAGAAACTTCCCCTCTCCTTACCCAGTTTAGTAAGCTTAAATAAGATGAAAAGGTCCCCCCCCCCCATAAAAGCCTGATTGTCCCAGAATATCAAATCTAACAACTGTTGGCTGTGCTGTTTTTTCCCTTGCTTATTCTAAATTCAACAAGTGCATGTCTCTATGATAGAAACTTAATTCTAATAGGGATGAAAGCTTGTGCTGGAGAAATTGGCTAGGAAACATCAAATATGGAAATTTACTTTCTTATAGCACTGGTTTTCTCTGTACCTGAATTCTCAGTGGAGTGGGGACATGGGCACAAATGTCCCAATACTTGGGTTTTTTTTCATATTATACATTTCCTCTTCCTCTCCTCTATCCCCATCTCTTTGCTAAATTAGCCACTGCTACTAGTAGGAGTGTGTTATATGTCCTTAGGTGTGTGGAGCTGAACTAATAATAAGTCTGAGAACCTTAGCCCTTTTCTGATACTCCCTAAGCCAAATTCCCACTCTGTAAATGGCCTTCTGGTGATATTATTAGGCATCTGTGTAGCTCTCATTTTTGAAGAGAAGTAGATTTTGGTGGTAAAGAAATTACATATATAACCAAGAATAATTTATTTATTTTATTGCATTGTGTAGGACACATGGAAGAGACTAGGAGATTGTTGAACTGATTATTTATTAAACTGTTTTGACAGTGACACATTGTATGTCTTGACTCAATCACCCCCTCCCCTCACACTCATGTGACTGCATACAAGGTTGAAAAAAAAGTTTGGCAAAATAATACTTATCTTTTTAGGACCTTGCTAGAACTGGCTCATCATACTGGCTTGCAGAAGCAGTGTGCCTTTCTTTTCCCACATAGCTCCATGTTCAGTGACATCATGCTGGTAGCTTGAAGTTGGCCATGGCCTGAGAGTATTTATACCAGGAAAATCAGCAAATGGTGCAGTTTAGGACTTTTTTCTCCCCTTTATATAGCCAGTTGTTGAACATTTTCAGCACACTGCTGCCTACAACACACATTGATATTATCTATTCCGCTTCATTAAAAAAATGCTGAGTTTTGACCCCTAAATTGATTTTATAACCAGCTAATGATAGCAGCCTATGGTTAAAAACTGGTTTTGTCCACCCTCTTCACTCTACAGATGAATGTTATACAGAGTTGAGGTTCAAGGTGATATAGATAGTTATTAGCAAAGCCAGGTCTCCAGAATCCTAGTAATCTGGAGTTTTTTTCTAGTGGCTTCTCTCCTGACCCAAAGCCATTCATGTAGCTCAGTTGAGGTACTTAATATGTGCCAGACATTGTGTTAAGCAGTTTGAACAGAGGTGAATAAAGCATGGACTTTACCCATAAGGTCTTTATATAGGGATTGAATATGGAAACCAAGATACTCTAAGGCAGAAAGTAACTCGTGGTAAAGAAATAAAGATAAGGCACTCTGAGAGTTTAGAGGCAGGAGAGAGCAATTACTTTTAGTTGTAAGGATAAGGGAAGAGAGGACACTTAAACTATGCTTTGAAGA